ATATATATATATATCTTATGTATAATGTCATACAAAGTTTTTTTTATTTTATTAATAAATACATATTAATATAAAAATACTTAGAGTAAAATTACACACACACACACACACACACACAATAACGTTATATATTGTGTGTGTATATATATATATATATATATATATATATATATATATGATGAAAAATAATTATATATTTATGTATGTAATTTTATTCTAACTGTATTTTGATATATATATTTATATCAAAATACACTTAGAATAAAATTGTGTATATATAAATAAAAATAATACGAAATATACATATGTCCATATACATAATTATATAAATAATTTCAGAAATATACACGTAGACTTCAAATATATAAATATGTATATATATTTAAATTCTACATGCATATTTATCTAATATTTTTACATAATATAGTAATTTTATTGATTGCAATTTGAGAGACCTGCCTGACAACCCAGGCAGAAAGTCCATAGAATTTAATTTGGTAGCACTATATTTAACCCTGTAACTTTCCAAGACACCCTAAAACCTGTACACGGGGGGTAAGGGTTTACTCGCTAGACGTCACTGAACACAAATATTAGTGTTTCAAAACAGTAAAATATATCACAGCGATGATACGGTCAGTGAAAGTGACGTGTTTTGCATTTTTCACACACAAACAGGACTTTCACTGATGATACATTTTACGGTTTTGAAACACTAATGTTTGTGTTTAGCAAAGTCTCCCGAGTATAATAGTACCCCCATGTACAGGTGTTTTTGAAACTTACAGGGACAAATATAAGGCTTGTGTTTCAGTTTTTTCAAATTGAAATTTGCCAGATTGGTTACGTTGCCTTTGAGAGCATATGGTAGCCCAGGAATGAGAATTACCCCCATGATGGCATACCATTTGCAAAAGAAGACAACCCAAGGTTTTGAAAATGGGGTATGTCCAGTCTTAACACACAAACAAATCTAAATGCTACATTTGGCCAGTGTTTGTGACTAGGTGGCTACTAAAACTGACTGCACACACCCGATATTGAATACCCTGGGTTGTCTACTTTAAAAAAATATGTACATGTGAGGTGTGATTAAGAGATTTTTGACAGATAACAGTGTTACAATGTCAAAAAATATTTATTTTGGAACCGCAATGTCCTACTTGTAGCCCTATAACTTGCACACAAAAAAAAAGCTCCGAACATGTTTACATTGGGTATTTCTAAATTTTGTCCTGAGTTTAGAAATACCCAAACTATTTAGCACGGGTGTTTTTTTGCGGTTGTAGATGCATAACAGTTGTTGGTAAGGATCGACGATTATCGGTCTGGCCCGATATTATTGTCCGATATTCTGTATTTTCAGCAATATTGGTATCGGCCAATAAAGATACTGACATTGCCGATAATGCAGACCAGGGCCGCCATCAGCGTACTAGGGGGCCTGTGGCGGTCCTGGGGGGCCCAGCACACTCTTGCCTATCTTCAGCTCCCCTGTCTAATTATATTTAACATACCTACACAAACACTCACTGCACAAACACACACTAGACAAACACCCACACACACACTGCATTCATTATACACACACTACACAAACATACTGCATTCCCTATTCACACACTACACAAACACACTGCATTCACTATACACACACTACACAAACACACACACTGCATTCACTATACACACACTACACAAACATACTGCATTCTCCATTCACACACTACACAAACACACACTTTAAAAATGGTAACACACACTTTAAAAATGTAAAAATGGTAAATGTTCAGAATATCGGTAAGTTATTGGCTATCGGCCTGAAAGTTCACAGATTATCGGTATCGGCTCTAAAAAAAAAATCAATATCGGTCGATCCCTAGTTTTTGGGGGTCAAAGTTAGAAAAGGTTTGTTTTTAAAAATAAATAATAATTTCATCAGATTTTAGAATTTTTTTTTATAGTAAATTATATGATATGATATGAAAATAACGGTATCTTTAGAAACACCATTTAATGGCGAGAAAACGGTGTATATAGTATGTGTGGGTACAGTAAATGAGTAAGAGGAAAATTACAGCTAAACACAAACACTGCAGAAATATGAAAATAACCCTGTTCCTTAACGGTAAAAAAATTGAAAAACGGTCTGGTCACTAAGGGGTTAAGTGGGCCGCAAAAAAAAGCAAAACTTACTGTAGCGGTTAGCACCAGGCGACCCTACAAATATACTGTTTTTACCTGCATTCCTGTATCTGCTGTATTTTCTATGTATTAAAAAGAATTGTATTCCTCTGGTTGTTCGGTAGTTTCATTCCCTTAGTTTATTCGAATGAAACTACCGAACAACCAGACCTCCCCTGTGTGAAGTGTGTCCTCAATTACCCATTGCAACATTGTTGCGAACGGGTAATTGAATCGTAAGTAGCCGTCCTTTGTTCTCGGGGGTGGCCGCCATTCGACAAACGAACACGTGGCGGCGGCCATTTTAAAACTCCCGAACAGCGGTGTTTTGCCGTCGAGTGTCTGGAACTAAAATCGGACACTCGAGTAGGCGAACACCGCTGAGACCTCCACAGCCCTGGTCCGTTCGGTTCCAAACTACCGAACGGCCCCTCGTTCGGTAGATAGAAAATACCGAACGAGGGGATTCAGGCGAACCCTCCCTAGCCTCTATAGCTAGAGGCTTTCGTGTATTTTATTCCCTTATGCCAGGACCGACCGCAGGGCCCATTCACATGGAACCGGATTCGGCTATCTCAGTTCGTGCGGTCGGTCATTTTATTCCCTCCATACTTTTCCCGAACCCCTGGTCTGATCTGGGTGATTTTTGGATATGTTGTTCACCCAGATCAGGGCTACCAGGGGATGTAGGATTTAAAGAGGTACCCCTAC